CCCGGCGGGGTCCCGGTTCCTCTAGCAGCGTATCACCGGGGCTTCCCGTGCCCTGACGTGAGCGTGTTGCAGCAGCGAGCCCCGGGGCGCTGTGCAGGCTGCCAGCGCCTCAGTACCGCCGTGCTGGGGCTTCGGTCCCCGAGGCGAGGGCTGAGCCCGGCTGCAGGGACACCAGGGTGCTCCAGGTGATCTGATCTGACTTAGAGCTAGGGTTAAGCCGGGATCAAGCCGCTGCCTCCGCGCTGGAAGGCTCCGTTTACCAGTCCCCTAGACCAGCAGGGTACGCGAGCGATCATGCTTTGAGCAAACTGATTGGTGCTGGTTTCGTTCTCTTCTACTTCCATCAGACTGGCGAATGTGCGACAGAATTTTTTTTTTATATTTAAGAGGCAATCAACTTGCTACTTCCACATTTGCCTAATAAAATTACATACTTAGAATCAATACTACTTCATGCTCAAAATCTACAAGGAACTGCTTAACAGTAAGTATTCTACTTTCTAGGTCAATAAAGATTATTAAAAAAAATAAATCACGGTGGCCTAGTCCAAAACTTTACCATGGGCCAACCCCTTGATAATTACTTCACAAACAGCTGCTGAAAAAGAAAACCCAGTTTCAGCTCAATTTAATGACATTTCAGGTAGAATCATCAACGAATAGAGTTGCACTACATGGTAATGCACATCAAATTAAAGGGTGTCATAAATGGCATGCTGTTATGTGAATCATGATGAGATGGTTCGTAAAGATGCTCTAGAGAAGCCGACGTGTCTTAGCTTTAGGAAAGGAAACCAAACCAGGGTTAGTCTGTGCAAACCTGCAGCGTCCCAGGGAAGTAAATGAAGGTGCATCCCTTTACACTGCCTGGCAAATCTGGTGGGTTTATCTAATAAAATAGAAGCTGTATAAGGAAAAACTATCTGTGCCAATCAAAGCACTTTATAGCTTGTTAAGAGTGTGGTAAGCTGGGTGTGAGACTCTGTTGAAACCCAAGTCATTAGCAAAAGTCAGTGGACGTTTGCCAAGATGTTACATTTTAAAAACTGCACAGAATGTGTCTGTGTTAGTATTCCTCAACTCAAATACCCTGGTACTGAATATAAAGATGAAAATCTTCTGCTAATTAACAAGCGTGATCTGCACAGGCTGCACATGGTGATGGCAGTAAATGAGGTTTCCAGACAGTGAAATGACAAGTGTCCCTGCTTTCGTTCAGAAAAATGTCCATTTCCATGACAAAGATGTAAAATATATTCCAGCGTAGTCCTAGTCACCTTGTTCCTAACAGTAAAAGGTTTCTTGATGCAGGTGGTAGAAATGCACATCTATAAGTCCTTCTACTTAGCATGTTTTTGTGTTTTATTTTACAGCAAAGCCAGGGTTAGAATACATGCCACAGAGAGTTTTTGCCTGGAGCATGTAGACACCTTCCTGGCGTGATGCGCTCCAGTCACGCGTGGACGAGGTTCTCGTTAGTTCCCGTTACCCATATAAAAATGTCTTTATAAATAACATCATGCAGCAGCAGTTGGCCCAAGCTGATGTTGTATGTTGTGTTACGTTAGTTACTTGCGTAAGACAGTCTGAAGTCCTGTCAGCGTCCTGCAGCGCAGAAAAGGATTGTCTTCTCTTTTGCTTCCTCAAAGTTTGTGTTTGCAGCGCAGCGCGCCAGTGCAGTTCATCCCTTTAAGACTGCTTGTCCCAAGATGGCCCGTGCGTCGGGCTGTGCCGGACGGGGAGGAGGTCGTAGTGACTAGGAATGTGACTGTTCCTAGGCAGGTCGTATGGATTTTGGAGGTAACTGGCACTCCGACCACGGGCGTCTTGGACCACGCTGACAGTGGGCTCTGGGGAAAGAAGGAAAACTGGGTTATGGTAACCTGACAGCGCTCCCAAACTGGTTACTCTGCTCGTGTACTTTGTCACAAGCACAGGACATCAACTTCCCAAAGCATCTCTTCCCCTCGCAGCTTTACTGGCGTTGCACGGGGCAGCGCGCGGGGGAGACCGGGGAGAAAAACAGCAAACGGATCCACGGGCAGGTAGTTCCCAAAGCCCTGCAGATAATGTCTTCCAACAACCAACACTTCTGCGCTTTCAAAATCTTGCAGCTGGACTTTGTGGGCGTTTAAAACGAGAGCGTAAAGCGGGAACTGCAGCCCTCCTCCGCCGGGGCTGGCAGAATGATTCGGTGCTGCACCACGCTCGCAGCCAGCCCTGCAGCACGCGCCCCTG